CCACACCCAGACTCTGTGGCTGGCTCAGCATGCTCGAGGGGCAGGGCCAGTGCAGCATGTAGTACAGGGGATTGAACCCAGTTGCTGCACTTACCTAAGCAGGCACTTAGTCCACTGAGCTATCTCACTGGCCTATCATTAAGTTTTCTAAACTGATCTTTTTTGCTTAATTCTCTGTTCAAGTTCTTTAGTGCATGAAAATAGTTACAAAAAACTTTTATTTTCCAACTTATTCAACACTTTATCATTTTATTCTGTCTGCTAAAGATCTCAACTTTTCTAATTTACTCCACATTAAAATAATAATATCTACGTGGTTTTAGTTGTTATGTTAAAACTAGAAGAAAAGCACTAAGCTCATTTTCTAATCCATTTTAATTCAATTTTGTAGTGCTTTGGAAATCAAGCTGTGTTGAAAGATGACATTAAAATTAGAATGTTGAATTTTTTAGGAAGCATTGTTAAAGTACTTTTTATCAAGTAAACTATTCTCCAATCTTCACTTTATCACTGTCAAGATCTAGTCCTACTTTCTTTGCTGACATAAAGGAGAGTTACAAAATGACTAGCTATATGTAGAATTTGGCACAAGTATGTCGTACCCAAGGCTCTGCTGTTGAGTAGTAGAACTCAAATGCTACACAAAGATCTAAACTAGCTAAAATCCATTTTATTTCCCTTTTTAAAAACAAATCAAGGGGTCTGAGGATATAACTCCATACTAGAGTACTTTGCTACCATATGCAAACCACTGAGTTTGCTCCCTAGAATCACAAAATTAAAAAGAATAAACACCCCTTCATTCTTTCTTTTTCTTTTTTGCCTGTTAAAAAAAAATTTCCCAGTTTTTATATTTTCTCCCTTAATAAGAAATAAAGTAATAGGGCCAGCCAAATAACTCAGCGGATTAAAGTGTCTGCTTAGGCAGATGCACAGCCAGGGTTTGTTCCCTAGCGTGTTGTGCTGGCCCCACTCCCAGGGCATGCTGAGACTGTGATTGAGACTGGGCATGGTGGTGCATGCCTGTAATCCTAGCTCATGGGAAGTTGAACACAGGTGGATCAGTATGAGTCTGATCTACATAGTGAGACCCTGTAGACCCTAACTAGAAATAAAAAAAGAGAAATAAAGTAATCTATCACCAAGATCAACTTTGACAACATGGCAGTATACCTGAAATTTTATTTCTTCTTGTTACCAGCTTGATTGCCTGAATTATAGTTTTGTAAGGAAAATATATTTTCACTTCTGGGAAGATGGTGGAGTGGTGAAAAACAGAGAAGGAGCCTCTCGAAGATTTGATGACACCACTAGAATATAACATTGTGAGGACGAAAAGGAGGGAAGTGGGTCCTTCGGACCAGAAAAGATCTAAAACGAGAATTGAAGCCCCATAGGGAGAATAAAGAGAGAGACTTCAATAAAAAAAAAGAGTTGGAAAGTGGCACTTTGTTTCTGAATCCTGACTCACTGCATGGGAGGGGCTGCTTGAACCTGCACACACATGGTGACTACTGCTGAGCCTAGAGGCCCCCAAAGACAAACCCCACCAGTGAAACAGAGCAGTAGATGCATCAGACTGCAGTGACTCATGAGTTATTTGAGTTCAGATGTCCCTCAAAAGAGGGTGATCGCCCTGTAGCCATTCTAGAGAAGGGCCAACTGAGCTCAAGACTCAACAGCAGCTGTGGACTGGCTCCATCTAACGGCCCCTGTGAAGGTGAGGCAGACCCATGTTCAAGTCAGCGGGAAGTTGGGAAGCCAAGTGCAAGCTGGTAGGAGGCACACTGACTGCTGCAAGCTGAACAAATTGGGTTCCACCTTTACTCCGAGAAACCAGCCTCAACTTCAGTGGAACTACAGGTGTGGTCCAGGCTTCCTGCAATTGTCTTGACCCCATGGTAAATCTGTAGCTGGCTTGCTAGGATTAATCAACGTGAATCTGGACTCTGCCTACTTTATCTACCAGTAACAGCAGAGATGTACCTTGAAGTGGACTTGTTTTCCTTATTTTTTTCTTGATTTTGGTGTTTTCTTTTTTCTTGCTTGTTTGTTGCTTTTATATGAGTATAAACATTGTTTCTAGTTCTATTCTTGTTTTTTCTTTCCACCTCTCTTTTCCCTCCTGTCTTCTTCGTGAGTTTCCTAAAGTTTGTATAGTCTTTCTTTATCATACAGCCTTGTTTATAGAAATCTCTTTGTCTTTAGTTCTCTATTTTTTTTCACGTAACTCTTCTTAAATTTAAATCACCATATTGAGGACTATTTACTGTATAAAATTTTCTGGTGTGCTTTAGATTGTGTTATATAACCACAATTCTAGTTCATGTGGTTAAAGGTGGCAAATTTATGGTTACTAGTTTGTCACATTTTAGGCTCTGTTTGATGCTGTTATTATTATTGATTGTAGTACTTTAGCCAAGGTGACCTAACTGTTCTGAACAGTTGTTCTTCCTGGTATTCTGAGATTGAAATTGTCTAAGAATGATAATAATAATAATAATAGTAATACTATAGGCCAGTACCAGAAGACCAGAAGCTGTGCCAAATAGGAGCAATTTTTCATCCCTAATAAATTAAAGAGATAGCATCTTACAACATATTCAATACCCAAAAGCTAGCTTCTTCTGGAAGACATTTCTGAGAAGTAGTCATTTCCTAAGGCTTCAAAATACTAGTGGTAAAGCTACTTACCATAAGCAATTTAAAAGCATCACTCCAGTAATTAAACTTTAAAAAAAAAATGTGAATGCACTTAGGCAAAATGGAACTTAAGCTTACCAAAAGCAAACACAGGGGAAACTTACTTGAATACTTCAAAAGCCTCCCACCTGCAATCTCTGGGTTGGTAATAGCAAAAGGCAAAAAGCTCCAGAAGAACTCAAATCACAATTTCTGAGGTAATTACAAAGATGGTAACCATGATCAAAGAGATGTTTAATGACTCTTGAGCAGGTACAGAATTTTAAAAATAGAGGCACTTAGGAAAATGATGAAAACCATGAACACCAAACATAGGCAAAAATTTAATCCATGGAACAAATTCAGATAGATAAAATATTTAAAAATTCCATTGAAAATATATGTAGCAGGATGAACCACTGTGAGGACAGAGTATCAGATCTAGGAGACAGTAATGCAGTTAGTGACCATAAAAAGAAAGATTCTTCAAAATTAAAAGAGACTGTGAGAAAATCCAACAGCTGCTTGATGGTGTAAAGAGGAATAACATAAAATTGATAGGAATCACCAGAAAAGCAGGAGATAACATAAAAAAAAGAAAACTTGTTCACAGAAGTAACTTCAGAAAACTTCCCAAACAGGGAAAAAGAATTTGAGGTACAGCTTAGTGACATATGTAGAATTAGCCATGATCAAAAAAATAAAATAAAATTACACCAAGGCATACTCAAGTTTTCAAAAATTCAACGCAAGAGTACAATATTAACAGCAGAAAATAAATCACCTTAAAGGAAAGCCCATCATAATCATAGCAGACTTCTCAACTCTAATCCGCAAGTTTGCAGAGCTTTAAAGTATTTCAAGCCCTAAAAGAATAAAACCTCCAACCCATATTGATGTACCCTGCAAAACTGTCTTTCAAAATTGATAGCAAAATGAGAAACTTCCATACCATCTGAGGAAATTCATGACCACCAAACCAGCATTCCAAAATGTTCTGCAGGACATTCTAGCAAGAGGTAACAGGGACTGCGAATCCATGAACTTCAATGGAATGAATCCATCTGGCAAGGCAACCAGTTAAATAAGGAGAAAGGGAATCAATGACAGGCGAATAACATGACAGGGATAAGTTAATGTATGTTAGTTAAAACCATCAAGGTTAATAGTCTCAATTCACTGGCATAATTGGTTAAGAAGCAAGATTCAGGGACTGCATAGAAGAAACACATTTAATTCAAAACATACACAAAGTCAAAAGCTTGGAATACAGTACTACATGCAACAGGAACCTGGAAGAAAATGGGTAGCTATTCTATTTGCAGAAAAAAGTCAATTTCAAACCAAGACTGTAAGAGAGACAAAGAAGTTCATTACATTCTTGTAACGAGGACAATCTAAGAGGAAGAGATATCCAAATATAAATGCATATAAATGCAACAAATAGTACTGTACCCAACTGTATAAAATATCAATAGACATGAGAAATCAAAAAAGCATTAATACAGTTACAATGGGGGACCTCAACAACCCGTTAACACTACACATCAACCAGAGAAATCAGCAATGAAATATCAGAATGAAACCAAACTTTTGAACAAATTGCCTTAGTTGATGTCTACAGAGTATTCCATCCCAAAACATCAAAATACACCTTCTTACCTGCACATGGGACATTCTTTAAAATAGATTACATTGAGCATGCTTAGGTAAATGCAAAGGAATTGAAATTATCCTATGCATATTATCAGATTATACTGCAGTGAAATTGGGAATCAGTAGCAAAAGAAACCACAAGAATTCATAAACAAATGGAAATTAGATAACGCTACTGAACAGCCAGTGGGTCACAAAAGAAATTAAAGTAACTTTGTACAGTTAATACCAGGATGACATACTGGAACTTATGGTATGCAAACAAAGCAGTCCTATGGTGGAAATTTGTAACAGTAAATTCTATATACAAAACAGGGTCAGGGTTGGCCAGATAGCTCAGCAGACTAAAGTGCCTGCTTAGGCAGGCACACAGGGACCTGGGTTCGATACCCAGTGTTGCATGCCACGCCCGCCCCTCCAGAGTGCACTGAGACAGTGATTGAGACTAGGTGTGGTGACGTGCCTTTGCAATCCCAGCACTCAGGAGGCTGAAAACAGGAGGATCATTATGAGTCCAATCTGTGTAGTGAGACACTATAGACCCTGTACTAAATACATTTTGAAAAAAAGAAACACGCATATCACATTTTATTAATGTTTTAATATGGGTATGTATGACTATTAATGTAAAGTGTTTCTATTACAGAATGTTTAGCAAATCTAGTTTAGCAAATTAATTTTAGTTCTTTTCAAAACCTTTTTTAAAAGTTAGGAGCATCCAAGCATAAGCTATTTTGTTCCTGGTTTTTTTTTTTTTAAACTGTTTTGTTGTTGTTGTTATTGTTGTGAACATTCCCCTTTGCATTGCATTAAATATTTTTTACTTATACACATCAATTTTGAATGTCCATATCATATTCAATTATATGGATATCATTTCACAATTTAATCATTTTCTTATCCTTTAAATCTCTAACCTCACACTACTATGAACACAATGAGTAGAATACTTTTATACTAAATATACTAAATATTTTATAGTAAGTGTTTGATATTTTCAGGAGGTATGTCAAAATAATATGCTTTCATATTTCATTCTAAATTTTAGTTTTTAAAAGTTTTACAAATGTATACTCTTATCTGTATTTCATCCCTGAATCCAGATACCCAAAATATACAATTATTAAAATTAGAGCAGGGTCTTCACGCCTCACGCCTCGCGCCTGGCTGCGTCAGTGACTCCCGCTTCGCCGCGCGTCGCATCGCAGGCCCGGTCGTGGCGGCGAGAGCGAGCTCTCGAGACAGCTCGGGGTTGCAACGCGGCCCGCCCCGAGGGTCCTGGTC